TATTGTTCAATACTCTATATTATGAGAATTCATCATAAATTGACTAGTGTCATGTTGCCACCTTGTCCTCATTCTCATCCTAAAAATAATTGCAAGACTACTTGGATTGAATCCTTATTCCCTAAACTTGGATTGAATCCTTATTCCCTAAACAATCCTTCAAGACAATCATAATTCATAAACTCAGAAAAAACAAAAGAAAGGAGAAAAGGTCCAAATTTTCCTCATACTACAATGAATATCCTACTTTACCCTTCGTTATACTTCCGCGAACCATACCTTTGCTATTAGCAAATAATCTTGTATTTACACTTAGACACTGAATGAATTCCAAAATGTCCAGGAAAAAGGTCCAAAATTACACCTTTACTTTTCACTATGCCTTAAAATTAATTTCTTTAACACTTCAAGTTAGAGTTAAACCCCCATTAAGATCAATGAAAAATACAACCATTTACCAACAGTTAGCAAATTCTCAATGGGTATGACTGAACCCAAAAGTACAATAATGGATAAAAATCAAATCTTTAACCAATTTCCCTAACATAAACCGAAGATTATCCACAAATCAGAGTAAACAGAACCAAAGATGAAAACTTTAAAGCCCTAACTAACCTGGCTGGTCAGCAGCAGCCTTAGGGGAAAGAACCAACAACTTTCTTCTAATAGACAACTTTCTACTGACACCAAAAGGGATCAATGGGGGTCTTGGTGAAGAAGAAGCAGAAAAGATTGGTCTTTTAAAAGGGGCATGAAAAAGTTTAGAGCTTGTTATACTGAATCCAAGTTTGGTGGCCATTCTTGTTCTTGATAGAGGTGGCAACAAATGTGTAGAAACTTAAAGAGAGTAAAAAGAAGAAAATTTTGATGCATTGTGGGAAAAAATCTTGAATGTGATGGTTATGGTAGAGAAGGGAGAGGAAAGAGTGGCAACAAATGAGAGGAATTCAAGATAAGGTTAATGTGTGGAGGGAAATTAATTTTTTTTTGTCTCTATTTGAATTTCATCAACAAAATATGTCTGTATCCCATCAGAGCTCGATTAATTTAAATTTACACTGTATAATATTTAGATAAAGCTATTTCTTATAATTTATGAATTTCTTTTTTATATTTACGATTCAAACTCGAAAATTAACTAGCTAATGAAAGAACAGTCTCATCCACGACTTTCGACGAAGGGCAAAATATGCCCTTTATTTTCTAAGTTTAATTTGATGTTACATGATCTGCCACGTCAGCTTTAATGTGGTTGAACACCAGAATCTAGGATCCTACAATTGCTTGACACATGGAGGCTTGGTCTGTTCATGTGTTTGTCACGTGATATTGGTCCATCCAGCTATATTTTGGTCTTTTATCTCGTCTTTTGAATTAAGTGTTATTTTTTAGAAGTCGCAATTTTATAAGTTAATTTATTTTAGTTTGAATATATATAAGAGTCATTACGAGTAAAATTCGAGAAAAAGAAAGTCAATTATATGAGAAATCCTTCAAGAAGTTAAGGAAAAATATCTTATTGGACATCTAAGTTATATTCGTATTAATTTTACCTGTGAAATTATAAAAAGAAAAAACAAAGAATTATAAAAAAACATTTGAAACAATCTGTTTCTCATGCTCACTTTTTGTGAGAATAAAAATAACAAAAAGCTTGGAGTTTTTTTTTAAATGTAAATTTTTATTGAAATCACGTAGTTTTAATATGAAATTACAATTTATCTTCTTTAGTCTGTAATTACATTAGTTCTTTAAAAGAGTAACACAAATTGGATACAATAATACGTAGTTCAAATGCATTAAAGAATATCTCAGATACATTATAATATAAATCAGATACATAATAATAGTTCGAATACATTAAAAACTAGCTTGAATATATAATATGTAGCTCGAATATATTAATATACAGTTCAAATACATTAAAAAAAAAAGAGGTTATAGAGATTTTTACAAATAGAAGCAGACATTGGAAAAATCAGAAAAATAAGACATGTTATTAAGTAATTTTTTCATTTTTATTAGGAGTACTGTTGCCCCTTCTGCGTGGATACAAATTTCACTCTCATGAATTTTAATTATTATTTTTTAAAAAAATAAAAAACCCTTTTATGCAATATCTTTTTGAATATGAAATTATTTTTATTAGTGGACTCTATCATTTAACTAAATCGTCTCAAATAAAATCATTAATTTTTGGAAAAAAGAAAGAAAGAGAAAGAGTAATAAATAAAATTCAGAACGTAAAATAAAAAAAAAGTGATAACCAAAATGGAACAAAGGATCTTTCTTATAAGATAAAATTAAAAATTACTAGGATAAAATGTCATAATAATTTCTTGTTGCTTATAGCTTAAACAAGAAAATGTACATTAAAGTTCCATTTTAATCAAAACAAAAATAACTTAAACTCATCCCTTTAACAACATTTATTATCCAACTATTGTGGTATCTGAACAATAAGACCTTTTTTTATCAGAGCACAAACTAGACACGATTACTACTAATTATACTTAATTAATATGTTCACACCTATTATTAATTCTATTTTCCTTGTTTGTAATATTAATTGAGCTCATTTTATTTTATTACAAAACATTATTGACTTAAATAATGTTTGAATTGACTTAAAAGTTTATCAAATCTATTTTTAAGTCAGTTGACAAATATAAACTAAATACAACTTAGAAAGTGTTTGACAAGATCAAATATAAGTTAAAATAAATTTCAAAAGACTTAAAATAAGTCAAAAACTAAAAGTAGGTAGGTCTTCTCCTACTTTTATTTTTTGATTTGAAAGTCATTTCAGTTTGACTTTTAAGTCAATTTAAACAGACTTGTAATATTTATTGTTTAGGGTAGTTGTTACATCGATTAAAATAAAAACATCATGATTTATAAAAGTGAAAAAAAAAAGACAGAAGGTTAGTAATATAAGAATAAATTTTCAATAAAGAGAGAATATAATGTCTATTATTCAAAATGGACTAGAGAGTTTGATTTTAAAAATAAAATTAAAAGGTGTAAATGATTTTTATTTGGTGATTAACTAATGACAATTAATTTAGATAATTGAGTCATAAAGCTATTTTTGACTATCTTCATAAAGTATTCTACAATTAGTTTATAAGATAAAATGTTCTTTAAGTGTATTTAAAACAAAAATTCAAGAGTTTGATTTATTTTTCTTAAGGAGTTATGCTCTTTTAATATTTTTAATGAATCCAAATGGGTGATTTTTTTTTATATATATAATATAACGATACTGAATTTAATTTGATATAATATTGACACATATTATTACTCAAATGTGTCAAGGAAATTAAGCTTTATAGGGAGGCTTAAATCTACTTACAACATATATTATTAATATGTTCACATCTATTACTAATTCTATTTTCTTTTTTCGAATTAGATAATTGAGTCATAAAGTTTATTTTTGATTATCTTCATAAAATATTCTACAATTAGTTTCGAAGATAAACATATTCTTTTAAGTGCATTCCAGAGAATTCTATTTTTATAAAGAATTATTTTCTTTTGATATTTTACTGGATATCCAAATGGGAGTATTTTTTTTATAAATATAATCGTACTGAATTAATTTGAGATGACATTCTGTATTTATCAACTTAGCTACATCTTTTTTTATATTACACAAAGTCACATCTAATTTTTGTCCAATAATTAATACTCCAACAGAGTTTTCTAAATATAATAAAATAATCTAGTAAACCATTATATGTATATGTAATAGAAATGTTTTAGTTTTAATAGTTTGGAATAAAGATGACTCTAAATTTCTAGCTACCAGTACATGTACTATTATAAGAAATCTCAGTAATTTATTGAAGAATAGACTATAGTTTTTAACTACTTTTATACAATCTTAATGTTAAACTACTATTTTACTCTTTCAAAAGTTTGGGTTTTATATTGTCAAAGACTTATTTGTTAAACACTAAAACATAGTTCCATAGTTTAGGTGAACATCATTTATTGAAGAGAATATATTTAGAACTAAACTTTTGCTCAATATGTTTATTTGTCTTTCAAAGTGCCATTTCCGTGATGTATAATAGTTTTCCTCTTTTGGACTTAAAAAAACTTTTTTTTGTCGGTACATATATTAGAACCCAACTAATTTTCATATATTAGAGTCTTACTAATTCAGATTTGTGATGCATCCGAACTTTTTCAAGATTGGAAGTCGAGACCTCTGGTTAAGGGAGGTACAACCCATCCATTGCACTACATTTATCAGTGGTTGAACTTAAAACTTACATACGCATCGAAAACTTTTTCGAAATACCTGCTACCTCCCATTAGCACATATATCAAATATTTCTATTCACCAAGAGTTAAGATGTATAACAAATTAACAATCAATCACCTAGTGTTTTTGCGTGTACTGAAATTTAAACATAAAATCCCGTTATTTTCAACTTACTTCATCAATCACTAGCCAACACCCGAGCGCCAAATCCACCTTTACAATTCCACAATTAGTGGATTGTCAATTAAATGAGATGTATAAGAACAGTCACAAAACAGGTTAGACAAAAACTCTTGATGATTAAGATAGTTAATATCCTTTTTTAAGTAATATAACCAAACTAAAACATATATGTAAAAAATGGATCCAGCCACCAGTCATTTGTTTCCACCTGCAATATCATAAAATTGTGTGCCAACCACCATTTCTATTTTTAGGTAAGACTCAAAAACTAAAAACTGAAAACCTTAACATAATTTTTTTAAAAAAAGAAGGGTTAGCTATGAGTCACATGCATGCATGGTGGTTGTTGAATGTTTAAGTTTTATCTTCCATTCAAAATAACAAAACCTACCTTTTGGCACCCACAATATAAATCACCCTAAAGGGGAAGAATTTTTTTTTAAAAAAAACAAGAAACAAGGGTGTTCTTTTTTTTTCTTATTGCTTGTACTTCTATTTTTCGAGATTGAGATAGTATTCAGTCTACTTCTAAATAAGTACTCCGCGTATTATAGAGATGGTGAGTGAAGTGGTTTCAATTCCTTCAAGAGTTGAAAGCTTGGCTAAAAGTGGAATCCAAGTCATTCCTAAAGAGTATGTGAGGCCACAAGAAGAGTTAAATGGTATAGGAAACATCTTTGAGGAAGAGAAGAAAGATGAAGGACCTCAAGTACCGACGATTAATCTAAAAGAAATTGACTCAGAGGACAAGGAAATTCGCAAAAAATGCCACCAGGAGTTGAAGAAAGCAGCGGTAGAGTGGGGTGTTATGCACCTCGTTAACCATGGGATATCGGATGAGCTAATTGAACGTGTCAAGGTTGCTGGAAGGACCTTTTTTGATCTACCTGTTGAAGAGAAGGAGAAGTATGCTAATGATCAAGCTTCTGGTAATGTCCAAGGCTATGGAAGCAAGCTAGCAAATAGTGCTTGTGGTCAGCTTGAGTGGGAGGATTACTTCTTTCATTGTGTTTTCCCCGAGGACAAGCGCGATTTGGCCATCTGGCCTAAAACCCCTGCTGACTACATGTAAGCTTCTTTACATAGTTTCATGATTGCATAGTTTTCAATCTTCTCTTTTTTGACAATGGTGGTGTCCGGGCTCGCTTGTGCGTTGCCTTGACTAATCCACCGAGGGCTACTACCTCCACCAACATAGGTGAAGGTGAAGGTAGATAACCAACTGAGGTACTAAGATTCATCAACTTTTACCACTTCACTAACCGCTAAACATTTCTGTTTTGCAGTCCAGCAACAAGTGAATATGCCAAGCAGATCAGGAACCTAGCAACAAAGATTTTTGCAGTGCTTTCGATTGGGTTGGGATTGGAGGAAGGAAGACTAGAGAAGGAAGTTGGAGGCATGGAAGACTTGCTGCTTCAAATGAAGATTAACTACTACCCCAAATGTCCCCAACCAGAACTAGCACTTGGCGTCGAAGCTCATACTGATGTGAGTGCACTGACGTTCATCCTCCACAATATGGTGCCTGGCTTGCAACTCTTTTATGAAGAGAAGTGGGTAACTGCAAAGTGTGTGCCTAATTCCATAATTATGCACATTGGGGATACAATTGAAATCCTAAGCAACGGAAAGTACAAGAGCATTCTTCACAGAGGGGTTGTGAACAAAGAGAAAGTAAGGATTTCATGGGCTATTTTCTGTGAGCCTCCAAAGGAGAAGATTATGCTTAAGCCCCTACCTGAGACTGTCACCGCGGCTGAGCCATCTCAATTCCCACCTCGCACCTTTGCACAACATATGGCACACAAGCTTTTCAAGAAGGATAATAACGATGCTGTTGTTGAACAAAAAGTATTCACGAAGGATGATCAGGATTCTGCTGCTGTACATAAAGCCTCCGAAAAGGATGAACGTGATATTGTTGCTGAGCACATAGTCCTCAAGGAAGACGAACAGGATTTTGCTGCTGAACAGAAAGCCTTCAAGAAGGTTGATCAGGATATTGTTCTTGCTGAGCGCAAAGTTCTCAAGGAGGATGAGCAGGATGCAGTTGCTGAGCTCAAAGTTTTTCAAGAAGGATGATCAGGATGTTGTTACTGAGCATAAAGTCCTCAAGGATGTTCCTGCTGAAGAATCTGAATAGTTTCTCTTATTGTCATACTCCGATGGTTGTTTATTTGTTGATGATCCCCTATTTCGTGTCCTCTGCGATGTCTTTATTTAATAAGCATATCAACAAAATTTCAAGCAATATCACCCCTTTGTATATGAGCAACACAACATCCTGTGGATTCTTTCATCAATAAAAACACAATTATTTAAGCGAAATAATATCAAGTGTTCACATACACATACATTATATCTTTTCACGTTCAGCATGTTTTGTTGGAGAATAAAGTGACCCTCAACTTGGTGAAGAAACTTAATCAAGTTGCTCACAGCAGTAAAAGGAATGTATATCTCATTCACATTGAATTTGTGCCCGCAAGGGTTTATTTGAAAAGAAAGCTTCTAAGTTGTAAGTGAATAGCTCTTCAAGTGCTTTAAAAGATTCTGGAGTTAAAACAGCAACATGTGGAGACAGCACCACATTATCCAACCCAAACAATTCTTCTGGCACATGAGGTTCATTTTCATAAACATCAAGACCAGCACCGCCAATCTCACCTCTCTTCAGAAACTGAACCAATTCCTTCTCATCAATGAGTGCCCCTCGTCCAACATTTATGACAATACCTTCCTTCCCAAGGGCAGTCAGCACTTCTTTGCCAACTATGCGGTGTGTTTCTTTTGTTAAAGCACAACAAAGAATTAGAACATCACTGTTGATTGCAAGATCATGAATATTAGAATGGAAAGGAAACGAAACATTGGGCTTCATCCTCTTTGAGGTGTATGCAATGCTGCAGCCAAAGGCCTCAAGTCTTTTACCAACCCTCGAACCAATGCTCCCTAAACCTACAATGCCCACTCGTTTCCCACCAACCTGCGTAAAAATACATGTTAAGTACAATATCATCTAGCCAGTTCCCACAAGTCATTTGAGGAACAAACAACTTGCTATTATTAAGTCAACAAAGTGAAGCAAAACTGAAATGAAAAATACTTAAGTGAAATCCTATAGGTGGAGTTTGGGGAAAGTAGAGTATACAGGGACCTTACATTTAACTCGTGGAGGTAGATAGAAATTGTTTCCGAAAGGCACTCGGTCCAATTGTTCCAAGTTTCTTCTTTTGAAAAGTTTCAATCTTTGATCATTAATCAAAACAATCCAAAAGAGGCATTGGACAAATCAAGATACTATTTTTTAATACATACTCCATGTGTTTTCACTTCACGAGAGTCAAAAACTTGGACATATCAAGATGTTTGTTTTCATCATAATAATTATATAAAAAGAATTACAATATACAGTTTGATTTAAAATGTTGAATTAATAAAAATTAGTTTACTAAATATATCAGTTAAATTGATTCAAAGTGATATGCGACGAGTAAAAGTGCATAAAAAATAAACAGAATATAGTAATGATGAGCACATTTTAGAACAAAATTGACCTTGGAACCGAGGGGAAATTCTCCTTTAACAGGCCAAGAGCCAGCACAAACAAAACGGTTAGCAACAGATACACGACGGAGGACGTCAATCAATAGGCCGACGGCAAAGTCAGCAGCATCCTCGGAGAACGAATCTCCGGCGCCGGTGACGCGGATGCCACGGCGGCGACACTCAGCGAGGTCAAAATGGTCATATCCAGCGCTAGTACCCACGATGCACTCCAAATTAGGGTACTTATCCAGGGTCTCCGAGGTGACCGGAGTAGGACCAACACAGAGCATGACCCGAACCGAGCCGGAAATGGGTGGAAGTGATGGGTCGGATTCGTCAAGCGGGTCGAAAACCCTGTACCAGGTTTTTAGTTTGGATGAGAACGAATTTCCAAATCTCGGATAGCGATGGACGAGAACTTGCCGGATATTGGTAGTTCCCGGCGACTGATGCTGATCGGCAGAAGCCATGTTCTGGTTTTCTTGGAGTGCGTATTGAATTACTGCTCAAATTTTCAGAGCCAACCAATGGATGAAACCTTTGTCAAAACTTGTCGTCTTTCTCCTTCCTTCTTCCCCAAAAATTATCTAAAACATACAACTTATTTTTCATATTTTTTAAGATTTCCCATCACTTTGAAAAATAATTTACAAAAATTTCTACTCTGTCATATTCTCGAATACATTTAATTAATGTATTAACCAGCTACATCACTTTATATGATATATTGAAATATCAAGTAATATATTTGAAATTGAGACATTACATAATCACGATCGAGACACGATATATTGAGATATTTAGAATGTATCAAGATTTTTTTATAAATATGAAAAAGAATAAAAATACAATATAATTAGCTCTTTTAATTTTTTTTTAAATTTAAATCAAAAGTTTCAATCACATTAATTTCACCTACGATAATATAAATTGTTTGCAATGTTATATATCAATAAAATAAGGTGATTTAGTCTTTTTTTTAAAAAAAAATTAGTTTAGCTGCCTGAACAAAATAAGACCTCACTTTCTCCAATTATTATTTCCACTAAACATTAAAAAAGAAAAAGACATTGAACAGTCCATCAATAAAATTGTGCACTAAATTAATATTATATAATAGGTGAAAAATTGGGGAAAACATCAAAAGTATATCAATATTTAATGGACTATGCAATACTTCATATAAAATAAAGATGATTTTAAGTCTTAATTATAAGGTGAAAAAATTATTTTGGGCTTTTCACATTTCTTGTTGTTTGTAGCTTAAACAAGAAGATTTACATGGACATCAGGCATGACAATGCATGTTCCAATTTACTAGCAATAACTTTCAAACAAAAATAACTTAAGACTCATCCCTCTAACGATATTTATTATTCAATTGTTGGCGTTTCTTCAATAATTCTGTCTTTATTCGAGTAAAATTATGTATGTTGTAAAAATAAATACACCCCGATAATAGACAATAGTATATTATGATTTTATTTGTACCTATTAAAATTTCATAAATGTAAATGTGAAATGATGCTACCAATAAGTATTTCCAAATATAATTGAGGAGAGACAGAGATGGATACACTATTTCTGTAAATAATTCCTAGACAGAGAAGTTTTTTTTATATTAGAAATTAGGGATCAGAAATGTGGTCAATATCACAAAGAATAAAAAATTGTTGCTTATATCAAATAAAAATTAATGTTTTCACAGCGAGATTTATCAATTCACATAATACTTGTCACATTCACGTCTCAGAACAATAATACAAATAACATATTCACATAAATAATGAAGAGACAATCATTTTCATAATAATACATAATTCACAATAATTTAATCGTGATACAGAAAGACTTGCTGTAGAGTGGGAGCCTCGTACCAACCATAGCAGGCTTTTAACACAGCTATATGGAAATCTCAGTCTCGTCAAGGATCAAGTCAAACCCTGTATTAATTTACACCGTATTTGATTTGTAAATATCAATATTAATTTTGTGTAAAATTTATTTGGTAGATTTCCAAAAGTGGTATAAAATAGAGTGCGTTTGATTCAATTATGAATTATTAAAGATTAATAATGTGAAGAGACGAAATGTTTTCGTAAAACTTTCTTCCCCAGTCGTTTCCTTAATTTCTACCTCTTCTGTTCTAATTTACATGACACTTTTTATGTTTTGAAAGTCAAACACTTTATGTTTGATAAAAAATTTACACATGAAATCTTCAATTTTTTTGAAATGAAATTTATATATTTGTAAATTACGTAAAAATTACAAGTACAATGACTCACTATAGTTGATAGTTCAAAATATTTAAAAATCTATTTACGGTCAAAAATAGACTTATTTGACTCTTAAAATTCGAAATATGGCGTATAAATGAGACGGAGATAGTAACTAATGAGCCAAGCGGGGAAAAAGGTTATTTAGTAGAAGTATTTGCAACTCATTAATATTTCAATTTGTTGAATTTCAATATTTGTAAACATCACTCTTATTAAAATACTGTTATTAAAATACTGGAGTTCAGTATTTTAATTTTAAAAGGAAATGGAGGGAGTAGTCAAGAAAAATAAAAGTTTTTAATATGTTCTTCAATCATGTTTATGTAAAAAATTATTAAACTCACTATGCAAAATAGGAATTAAAAAAAAAAGTGTTCAATATCACAAAATATTATGAGTTATCGTTTATACCCAACAAATATTGATGTTTTCATTGGATCGTTTTCATACAAAATCCTCTGTGTTATTTACTTGTTCATATTTTCTTTTATATCTGTTTATTTTAACAAATCAAGAAAGAACAATATTTTTTTCCCTAATATACCTTAATTTAATTTTAGAAATTTTCCAGTACTACTAAGTTGTAATGCATGCTTTTTGTAATCAGAAAATACATTTATTATACTTGGAGAATTGCATAATCTTTTAAGTTAATGATAAAATTATAACCAACCTATGGTGGCTGAACAACTAAATAGAGATAGAGGGAGATAGAACGATAAATAGTTGGACAAAAAGGATATATAAGATTATAAAGAGTGAAACGAAAAAAAAATGATTGACACATCCCTCCAACGTAACTAGATTTATTATCCAACTACAGGCTTTTCCCTAATAAGACCCTTTTCATCTGGACAAAGCCACACACGGTTACAGCATAGGTTAAAAATATGAATACAATCACTATCTAACGGTACAGCAGTAACATTAGGATTACTACTTTCAACTGCAGCCTTAGCTTTCATGATCTCAACTCCCATCAACTCTGGCCATTCATATGGAGTTGGATCTCCTGGTAGTTTACAACCATTGCCACTACAACCACAATCATCACAAGGAGGGTACATAGCAGATATAGATTGAAAAACAAATAGAAAACCAAAAAGTATTATTATTTTCTCCATGTTCTTTTGTTATGTTACTCAAATGAAAGGGAAGAACTTCAGCTTTTATAGGGATGCTAGGATACCTACCTTATTATATGGTCAAATATTTTATTAACTATATTTCCTTTTTTGAATTATTTTCAAATTGTTTTGTTCATATTTGTAAAACATATCTCCGTCATTGAGTTTTTTTCCTTTATTGTAACAAATTTCCAGATTTGCACATAGCATGTGCCAAAATGCTCTTGAAATGAAGAATATGTATTTTATGTATATCCTTAAAGAAGCACTCCCTTTCATTTCAAATTAATTAATTGATCCTGATTGGCTTAGTATTTTTTTTAAAAATTAATCAGAGGTGTATTTTATTAAACTAGCTTATTAATGGGGTCGGAGCCTAAATGGTATAAAATATTAATAAAAATTTCAAAACGTTATATGAATTTTTATTTTAACCAAAAGGGCAAAATCGCTAGAAGAGCAGTGATATTGCTCGCTGAAAAAAGCAAAATCGTTGCAATAGCAGCGATTTCCAAAATAAATTTTTTAATAAATCGTTGTCTAAGCAGCGATTTCTTTAATTTTTTATTTGAAATTTTAAAAAAATTAAATGAAGTGCAGCGATTTGTCTCCAATTTTTTTATGTTTTTTTAAGTCAAATTTTTAAAATTTTTTGATTACTTACTTATTTTTAAAAATCATTAAAAAAAATTTATTTTGGAATAATTAGTAAAGAATTTAAAATTAAAATTTCTAAAAAAAGTTTAAAATTTTATTTTAAACGTTTTAAAATATTTTTTTAAAAAAGAAATTGACTACTTATTCCAAAATAATTTTTTTTATTGATTTTTAAAAATAAGTAGTAATCAAATTTTTTTTAAAAAATTAATTTAAAAAAATATAAAGGAAAAATTGGAGACAAATCGCTGCACTTGCAGCGATTTGCTCTTCATTTTATTTTATTTTTACATTTCAAATAATAAATTAAAATAAAAAATTAAAGAAATCGCTTCTTAGACAGCGATTTATTAAAAAAAAATTATTTTGGAAATTACTGCTATTGCAGCGATTTTGCTTTTTTTGGTGAGCAACATCGTTGTTCTTCTAGCGATTTTGTCCTTTTGATTAAAATAAAAATTCACATAACATTATTTGAAATTTTTGTTAATAACTTGTACCCTTTAGGCTCCGGACTTTGAAACTTTAAACTCTTTTAAGCAAGTGAAGTGCGAGGTACTTCAAGTGAAATAGTGGTTGCTATGTAGCTGACACGACAAACAGTTCACTTGATGAGAATTCAAATTCAAGACCTTAACAAAGTCTCAATTTACTATACTATACTGATGGTAGGGATTCCAATTATTGGTAGACCTACCCAAAATAAAGTCTATAAAGAAATGCAAAGGTATTCATATCAAATATATAGTAAAATCTCACTAAATTACAACAATGTTGTAGTTTTCAGCTATTCAGAATAGCTGTAATCTACTATTATTACATAAACAAACATAAAAGATTATCAATTAGAAGTTTCACTTATTCCAATTTAACAGATATTGGAATTCTTACAACATACTTGTTAGAGATCCATGATATAGCTCCTTGAACAAAGCGGTCAGTGATTAACCCCGTTTGGGTAAATGATACTGAATAGGTTTCCTGTTGGTTTACCTGAGTGAAGACGAGGGTGGCGGGCTCAACAACTACATCGACTCCTTGAATTTGAGTGATGTTAACGGTGTAAGTTGAGCTTGCATCACCAACATTTGTAACTGTTCTTGTATAATTCTGAGTCTGTGGTCCAAGTATGATCGAGAAAGAAGGATAGTTCAGTTCTGCTTCGGATATACTTGATTGTAGTGAACACTTGACAGTTTGTTGCGCAAGGAGTTCAATGTCTTTGTCCTTGTAGCCTAGACCACATAGATATTGGATGTAGTTCTCAACTTTGATGTCATAAATAAGTCCGGGATCACTTGCCTTTGATGGATTTACATGGCCGGCACCAGTAGCAAAAATATCAGCAGGTAGATCCCTCTGATCAAGGATGGGTTGGCCTTCGAGGTTGAATTGATCAGCTGTAGTCATTATCGCGGATTTAATAGCAGCTGGTGACCAATCGGGGTGTGCACTTTTAAGCAGAGCTGCAATGCCACTAAGGTGAGGACATGACATTGAGGTTCCTGAGATGATGTTAAATGTCAAATCAGTGCCAGTTTTGTTCTCTACCGAGATGGGCCATGCTGCAAGGATGTTCACTCCAGGACCGATGATGTCCGGTTTGACTATGCCTGGACTTGCCAAGTTAGGACCCCTGGAGGAAAAAGATGATACAGATGGTGAACTCTTAAAGCCTATAATTGTGCCTTTGAAAATGATTCCAGCCGAGGGCGTGGAGGTTGAGTTTATGTATGCTTTAATACTTTCTCCAGCAGTATAACCCACGTGTGTCGCAGGAAGAACATGAGCATCAGCAAATGTGCCATCTCCGTCAATCTCTAGATTGGTAAGAATCATGGCAGCACCGCCTGCATCCTTTACTGTCTGGCTTTTCTCAAGTCTTGGAACATCGCCACCTCTGTCACATACAACAACCTTGCCTTTGACATCGGTGTTATTAAGGGATCCTGAAGAACAGAGTGCAGCATCTTGATCGGAAAAGCCAGGGTATACCAAGGGCAATAAAGTATGAGGAAAACTCGCGGGCTGAAAAGCCGATTCACCATCATATTCTTGTCCATTCCCTAGCACAGTTGTTGCCACTATCTTCCTATCATGGGTGCTAGCGCCAACTGTGAGAATCCAAGGGGCCTCATTAGATAATGTAGAATTCAATGGACCTTCATTACCAGCAGAAACGCTCACAAAGATACCCTTTTGCATTGCAGCAAACGCCCCAGTGGCAATACCATCTTCATAAAACGGATCAGAAAATCCTCCAATGGAGAGAGATAGCACGTCAACACCATCATCTATTGCAGAATCTAATGCAGCCAATATATCAACATCTGAACAACTTTCTGTACACACCTTGTACATAGCAATGTGAGCAAGAGGGGCCATACCAGCTGCTGTGCCATTAGCATTGCCAAACAAACTTGCATCATCGACAAAGTTACCAGCTGCCGTACTTGAAGTATGTGTACCATGACCTTCATCATCAAAAGGTGGATCACTTGAACCACCCACCAAATTCCTCGCGCCAATGATCTTCTTGTTACACGTCACATTTCCTCTGAACTCACATTTCCCTTTCCACTTTGCCGGTGGAGATGGCATGTTCTCATCACTAAAAGATGGATGATTAGGAGTAATCCCAGTGTCTAGAACCCCAATAATCACACCCTTACCATAATTTGATTCTTGCCAGAGCCCCATATTCCGATACAACCCCAAGAAGTTTGGAGTATGCGTTGTATGCAAAGCTAATATCTTCTCAACCCTCGCGGACACAAAACCATCTTTCTTTTCCATTTCGTTTACCTCCTCAGCTGACAATCTGGCCGCAAAGCCAATAGCCACATGGTGATAAGAGTGAATAATGCGCGATGGCTCCTCTGCACCAGCCAACACTTCCGGTAAAAAGGAGCTGTAGTAGCTTTCTAGATCATCCGAGTTAGCAAGAATTCGGGCATCTGGCTTATTTACATGAACAAGGTAAGTTTGCAATGCATTTGAACGTTGCGCAACTGTCAAATGCAAACTCAACAAGAAAGCAATAGAGAAAATGAAAATGTAAGTCATGGTTGATATTTGGCTATGGATGATCAAAATATAATTATATATATACTATGAACAGAGGAAAAAGTAATATTATAAACTAATACAAGAAAACAAAAACATAGGTAATTTCTAAGTGAGCCGGCTTAGGAACAAAATTGTTGTATTTATTTACTAAAAGTATTTATTAAAGTAGGGAACATCATAAGAAGTAAATCACAACAATATTGGATTATTTGGGAAATTATTATTGATATTGTCCCCAAAGGCGATAATTCTGTTGTTCATGTAAGAAAAATAATATTGGATATTTCTCAACTCCAAGTATAGTCCAACTGGATTTTCTAATTGTTAGTCATTCATAGATTATGTATTGATTATTTCATTGATCGTTTAAATTAGTAATATCAACTCAACTCAGTGTTACAACAACAATATACTCAGTGTAATCCCATAAGTAGAGTGTGTATGCAAACCTTATTCGTATGTTGAAGGTCATATAAGAAAGACGAAATCATTAAATAGTAATGTACCTGCAGTATGGAGGATATAAGTAATTAACGAATGAGTACTCATTAATTGAAGCTGTTAATTCCATCAAAATTACATGTAACTAATGGAAGTAGATATTTGTTTTTTTTTCTAATCTATTATGGTAATAACTTAGCTTTTTTTCTTTTTAACTTATGAACTAAACCTCATATGCTTATTCTACAGTAAAAATTACAATGAAATGGGCTTAACATATGAAAATCCAGCCCTTACAAGTCTCTCAGACGATGCAGAATCTAATTCTTGAACTTGAGTTTTTCGGAAGGATATATACTATTGAGTTGACGTCCATTTTGTCCATGCCCATACGAGAAATCTCTGCCACGAATCTTCTTACTTTGAGTTCGTTTACTGTTGGCTTCACTGCCTTCTTCCGGTTTGTTTCTCCTACGACTATTATATGTAAATGGCACAAGAATTATGGTGTGACCAAATAGAGAAGATCAAGCAATAAATTGCAAACAGAACTGCGTGAAATACAAACCTGAAATGCAGCAAAAGATACAATACACCAACAAGCGCAGTGCCTCTAGCAACTGTTTTCAGCAATGGTCTCTGTCGATGTTTATCTTTTAATTCACCAGCATCTGTTTCTTGATTTCCCTCTGAAGCATTTTGTTCCCACAAATGTGGAACTTTATGTTTCCTGTCACCCTATTTAACAAAAAGAAACGAAAAAATGTCAATGTGATTAAAAGGTGAATTCTTGAAATTACTAATGAAAAATGAGTCGGAGTTCAAGAAGATTCACAACTAAGAATATACTTACATCATCTCCTGGAAGTGTTGGTTTACATACTTCACTTGCATCACCTGAACCACAGACGGTGCAGGAACAGGGGTGGCCTTTTTCAATATGTTCACAACAATTTGCAGAATTAACGGAATTATTCCGATCCATGTTAACACCATCCAAAGTCATGGATGGTTCACATGTACTACTAACTACTTCAGAAACAAATTTGAGATACTGTGAATCACCATCACATCCTTCATTTCTGCCAACTAAAGAGACATTCTTAAGATTATTTCTACATGCAGCAGTATCAAGACAAACCATATCTTCACTTCTTGCAACCTCGATATCTTCACTATGTGTGGAAGCAGAGAGCGGTTCATCTGAAGCGGGATATGTGAGCTCACTGAGACTGGCAGAAATTTTAGGTTTTATCACAGAGGGTTCCTTAGTATCATGAAAAACAAGTTCAGTAGTAACAACATTCCATGCTACATGACTTGCAGATAAATCCTTTTGCTGCCGATCGGCCTCATTTTCCAGTAAGGAACCAGAGGTTTCTTCTGTTAAACATTCGTCTGCATCAAATTGGTCATCAAAATCCAAAGCATGCACCCGACCTAGTACAGAGCTCATGCTAGTGGTTGATGAAACTTCTGCGTCTTCATTATCCGAATATTTATACTGATGTCCATTCTGAAAAGTCCCTTTACTGGAATTTGGTCTATGGGAATCAATTGCCATAAATAAGTTCAAAATATTATCTTCACCTTCCCGCAAAACAGGCGTACTACCATCAGTTCCACCAATAATTGAATCTGAGAATGATAAGTAGTTGGAAATACAACTACCTTCCATTTCGTAATCATACATAGAATCTCCAACAATTGACTCATCATTTTCCGCATTAAGGTTACTATAATCAAAGTGTATCCTATTATTGGGACTAATATATTTCCCTCCATTTCCTAGAGAAGAGCTGTTTTTCTCTCTTCTGTTCTTGCTAACAGCTGAATATTCACCGAAAGAATTGTCTGCATCTGTATCTGTGGCATTACCATCTTCAAGCTGATTCATAGATGAGCAACAAGACTCTTCTCCCACAAATTTGCTCTCTGCCTCATCAGACTCTTCAGATGAAGAATCATAGTTTGCTTCACACTCTGTGATTTTATTTCTCTATAGCATTCATAAGGATATATTAGCATCTCGCAGATAAGAGTGTAAACATTTTTATCACAAGGAGAAAGAAAATAGTGTACTATTTCCAACTAATGGTGCATTTAACATACCTCCGTAAGTTTTGATCTTGTTTCTTTATACGAGTAATAACCAGAAGAACTTGAAAGGCTGCATTGTGATGTCTCCAAGCTTCTTCGAATGCCACCCACCATATTTTTTGGCATGACTACCATAGAGGTCACCAAGTCGAAGTCAGGAACCTAAGGCATACAAACAGGTTTATAGCAGAAGTAAAGGAAGTACAAGAGTTCGACCGCAACCGAGAGAACATAATAACCAGCCAGAGAAGCACAAGCTATCCAGAAGTAAGTGAACGATGTTACTTGATAAAAAAAGGAAATGAAAAATGTCTGCAAGAAGATTTTTACCTTCAATTGTTTGGAACGGGCCTTATTTGAGAGTGCCCTTAAGCAAATGCAAACTTTCCGAATGTTCTTTTTCTCAACAACATCAGATGGGGAGAAGAGATCGATACCATTTAATCCTAGTATTTTGCATATCTGCCAAAGCCAGGGATTACAAGGTTTATCCCCTTTTCTCGGTCTCATTGAGGGGTTTTCTCCCCCTCATGAATAGCAGTGTCGTTATCTCGCCATTGAAATAGAGACAAATCAGAAGAACTTACCTTTAAAAATGAGTCAACATTAGAATATGGCATATATCTCCCACTGCATTTCCGTGAACCAAGTGGTTCATACTTCATATGTCTTAGCTCTCCACACTTTGCCAATAGCATATTCCATAATTCTTTGGCAACTTCAAACCTACACAAGTTATCTTTTCCAGATGTTAAAATACAAGGTCATATATTCTGGTAAACTGCAACACCCTTCAGAGTATAAAGTGATCTCATACTCCAGACTAGAAAAGATCAGAATGTACATTCAACTAAGGTGCAAGTACTGGACAACATAAGAGAAAGTAGTTTGAAACGGTTGGTCAATCCAACTACTTTAAAAAATAGAGCAAAGAATAGATAAAGGATTCAATCCAACTACTTTGGAAGTAAGTCCTGAATCTTTGCTGCATCATTGCAGCTTCGAGGGATCCTAAATTCCCATACACTAAGAACCATTGATTCTTAGGTGAAGTAATACAGCAGCTGGTAAAACACGGGGCAGGGGATAGTACAGGTGTAACGGTTGATTGAGCTTGCCTGGATTAACACTTCTCTACGCCATACATAATCTCAATTTCAAGGGGCATACAACATGGGGAAAACGGAGCCCTCCCCATTGGATAAAATGAAGAAATAAATGTTAATGTTCCCTTTGTCGTTTTCCTAATATTGGTAGTTGAAGATTTAAGAAGCAGAGAATGTCTCAACTCAACAAGGAGAACTTTAGGAACATAAAGGGTTAACTCTGTCATTTGCCGTTTTTGAGGCAAGTAAAATAACCATTAGTATAGATATAGTAGGATAGGCTTAACAGAATATCAAGTACTCACACTTCCAAGTGTACATACATGATTTTAACATCAACACCTCGAGAATCAATAGATTGATTTTTATTATCTATTGGTAGCTAAAAATAAAAACTTGAACGAATCTTCAGTTTTGATCCCTATAACAAGAAAACATAACAAAGTTGGAACTGAAGGAATACAAAGTCTTCATAATCAATGTGTTAGTTTAGTTTAATCCCACTAATTGCAATTAAGCTCTTCCCTTATCAAACACAATATCAACATTTCAAACTGGATACAAGCAACATCAAATTAAGCCAAAAACGAAAAAAAAAAATGTAACAGTATCAATGTGCAAGAACTCGAACAATTAGTCACAGCATTAATAGCAATGGGGTAAACTGAAATCATCATTTCTTTTCGATAACAGTGGTATCCAAACCAGCTTGTACCTACCAGCTTCCACCATCCCATCATCAACATGTTACCAGTTGAAACCACCATTCTTTAATAATGAAATACCAAAACAGTTGGAAAACCTCTACTTAAACTTCAACAAAAAATAAAAAAATCCTACCTTTACCATAAAAACATCAGTAAAACTCAAATGGGGAAAAGGGGAAATACTTACAAAAGATCCCCATCAGCAAGCAAATCAGAAATATGCAAGTGCTCATCCAATCTCATTTTCAACACTTCCCCAAGCCATATCCTTGTTTGAGTCTAAAAAAACAACAAAATTAACCACAAATTTTTTTTTTTAAAAAAAAAAGAAAAAATGGGGAAAGTCAATTCACCTGCAAGAACACATCATCAAGTTCACGAAAGTTAGATTCAGCTGAAGATTTTGAAGAATCACCACTGTAGCCGCCCATTTTTGTTTTTGAATCAGTCAAAAACAAGTGAACAAAATCACTACAGTAACATAATTTCAAAATGAAAGCTTAGGTATTTGACATTAATGGTGAAATTTAATGTGAGGATGGCGTAGCAGACGCGTATTTAAATTTTAGGGCAGATAAATAGTGAGAGTTCTTGTGGACTGTGTTTTACTTTTTTTTATATCAGAAGAAAATTCACTCACTTTTTCCCCTAATTTCTTGGTATGTTTGAAAGTAGACAAAATTTAAAATAACATCACAATCTCTATGGGCCCACAAATTTTTAAATCTTTTTGTTTTTTTAGGTAGGTGCGAGTTGAGTTGTGAAGAGATAAATTTTGACGTAATTCATGCGAATAAGGAATAGGATTGTATCTAAACGTGATTTATATATACATGGAGAAAGTTGATATTATTCATTGCGAATGAGTGATTGGATTGTATTTGATATAATATACTATTTTTATATGGATAATGTTACCTAAATGTATTTCGATGTTTTGGTTGTTCAATCATGTCATGAACAATATTTTCTCAAAGTAAATTGATTTGTGCTGAAAAATGCATGTTTGTGGTTCATCGTGGTATAAAAAGCTATTTAAGTTTAGATGTTTAAAATTTTAATTTAACAAATAATTGAGCTAAGAAAAAGGTTTTGTACGAGGGGAAGGAAGTTTATGAGCTAATTACTTAGATACATATTAATTTGTATATTTATGCATTTTATCAGATTTTGATGTACTCAAAAACGTGTAGTTACGTCCAGATGTATGTATCTCGAATACATGAAGTCAAAATTAAGTGTAATTTATTCTAGATATATCCAAGATGATTTATATGTATTTTGAGAGACATAACAAATGTCGCTCGCCTTTCTCGCCACTCCCATTTCGTTCTTCATGTATCTGAGATTTAATATACATGGGAAATACATACATATCCACTGTGATTGCATATGTCTAGATACATATCGAATCTTGCTTATCTCCCTCCCCATTTTTGTGTATCTAATAACAAGAATATATATATATATATATATATAAAATTCTTATTGAATGATAAAATATGTAATATATTTTTAAAATATAGATGATAATACTATATATGATAGTGAAATATGTCTAATCATATCGAAGTAGAGCTAAAATGGATTCTGCCAAGTCTTTTATTCAAGTATAGTTGGGCTAAAATTTATTAGCCCATTTAAAAGTGAAGCTCAATAACACAGCCTCTCTGGGCCCGTTTATGTCAACAGCCCAATCTCTCTTGGCCCAAAAAGATTGGGCATATAGCAAAATACTTTGGAACAATGCTCATTTTTTATTTATTTTCTAATATAAAGATCATTTATTTGAAATACTCCTCAGGGGTGGATATTCTATATTTGGTTCGAGGTTCTCAAATTTTGGGTTTGATACTTTGGGAATTGATAGTTAAAAGTATATATTAAATATCAAAATTTTAAATTTTTATTCGGTAATTCAGTAATCAGTAAATTAAATTTCGATTTGGTGTGATACTCGATAATATCGCATTGAAGTTGTAATCGATTGTATTATAAAGTTAATACTATTTCTTCAATTAATTTTATGTTTTTTTAAAAAAAATTATTTATATATTTTTGTTATGTGGAGGCACATATAATAGAAGAAGAACAAGTAAGAAGACATCAAGAAAAACACATTAATAAAACTAAAAGACATTTAATTAAATTGTTTATTCTTTAACTTTTTCTTTGAACTTATACTAGTGAGTAATGGACATGTTGATATGTGACCTTCATTAAGAATAATTCGGTATTTGGAGAAATGTCGAATACCAAGTGGTACTAATGTCTTATATCAAACACAAATTCAAATACCATAATTTTATAATTTTACCCCCAAATACCAAAGCGAATAACGAAATTACCAAAAAATTGTGATTTAATTCGATAATTTGACTTTCGAAATTTTATGCCCAGCCTTAATACTCTATACGTTCATTTTTACTTGTCATTTATTTCTATCATTTTTACTTTTCACTTTTAAACATATCAAGAAAAGACAATTATATCCTTCCATATTTTACTTTTAACTTCAAATTTTATTCAAATAATTTTCCAAAAATCAAATACTAAACATCAACTAACAGGGACAATGCGATAAAATATCTATATCAATAATCAATTTCTCAATAGATATATCGAGTCACAAGTAAAAATTAACGGAAAGAGTAGTATCAATAGGGTTTATTAAAAGAAAGTGTGAATTTAAAATCTTTTTAAATATAATTGATAGATATGTTTGCGTATTCTTAATTTTTTCTCTGTCTTAATGTGCTGCAAAAGACTGTGATTTACTCTAATCCCACATCGAGAAAAAGTAAAATTAGTTTAACGTTTAAATGTGATTAACTGGTTGTAGCTTATCGCCGAGCCACGTAACGTTGGCTTGTAACCAAGTGGGGCATTAAAGTGGTGTGGATGTTCGATAATGTGTCTGATAATGCGGATGCCGTTGGGCTTCTCTACTCTTGGCAGAAAAATGGTGCACGCCACAGCTCTACACAGAGCTGGTAGCTAGCATTACAAAACCATTGAATGCTTGGGGTTTAATGCTCGAGAGGCCCCAAAGTTGCGGGAAATTACTAGTGGTCCAAATGGTTCCTTCTAGCCCGCATCAATCTTAGAGATGATTCCTCGGTTCTGATTAAGCGTGCCTGTTAGGCTCGATCAAACATACAACCACTTTTTATAATTTTACAAAAAGATAGATAGCCCCTCCTCCCCTTATTCAAATTTAACAGAGATTGGGCTTCTAACAATATACTTATTAGACATCCATGATATAGCTCCTTGAACAAAATGGCCTGTGATATCACCAATTTGTGTAAAGGTAACTGAATAAGTTGCTTGTTGGTTCACCTTGGTGAAAACAAGTGTGGTTGGCTTGACAACTATGTGGACTCCTCGAATTTGAGTGATGTTAACGGTGTAAGTTGAGCTTGCATCACCAACATTTGTAACCGTTCTTGTATAAGTTTGCGATTGTGGTCCTAGTATAATAGAGAAAGAAGGATAGTTTAGTTCTGCCTCAAGTATGGCTGATTGTTGTGAACATTTGATAGTTTGTTGCACTATAAGTCCAATTTGTTTATCGGTGTAGCCAAGACCGCATAGGTACTGGATGTAGTTATGTGGTTGGATGTCATAGATAAGTCCTGGATCATTTGCTTTTGATGGATTTACATGTCCGGCACCAGTAGCAAAAATATCAGCGGGTAAATTCCTCTGATCAAGGATGGGCTGGCCTTCGAGGTTGAATTGATCAGCTGTAGTCATTATCGCGGATTTAATAGCAGCTGGTGACCAATCAGGGTGTGAACTTCTAATCAGAGCCACAATGCCACTAAGGTGAGGACATGAGATTGAGGTACCCGAGACGATGTTAAATGTCAAATAGGTGTCAATTTTGTTCTCCGCTGAAACGTGTGTTGCAGCAAGGATGTTCACACCAGGACCGATAATGTCTGGTTTGAGTATGCCTGGACTTGCCAAGCTAGGACCCCTAGAGGAAAAAGATGATACTGATGGTGCACTCTTAAAGCCTATGCTAGTGCCTTTGAACAAGATTCCTGCCAAAGGCGTGGAGGTTGAATTTACGTAGGCTTTAATTATTTCTCCTGCACTATAACCTACATTCGTCGTAGGAAGGAGATCAACATAAGCTAACGTGCCATCTCCGTCAATCTCTAGATTGGCAAGAACCATGGCAACACCACCTGCATCCCTTACTGTTTTTCCTTTCTCAAGTTTTGTTACACCACCGCTTTTGTCACACACAACAATTTTGCCCTTGACATCAGTGTTATTCAATGATCCTGATTTACATATTGCAGCTTCTTGATTTAACAAGCCAGGATATACCAAAGGAAATAAGGTATGACAGTCTGTGGGGTGAAAAATCGATTGACCGTCATATTCTTGACCATTTCCTAACACAACGGTTGCCACTATCTTTCTATCATGGGTGCTAGCGCCAACTGTGAGAATCCAAGGGGCCACGTTTGATAGTGTAGCACTAAGTGGACCATCGTTACCAGCAGAAGCACTCATAAAGATACCCTTTTGGATTGCAGCAAAAGCGCCAATGGCCATACCATCATCATAAAACGGAGCAGTATATCCACCAATGGAGAGAGAAAGCACGTCAACACCATCGTCTATTGCAGCATCAATTGCAGCTAATGTGTCAACATCGGAACAACCAGAGTCTGAACACACCTTGTACATAGCAATGTGAGCAAGAGGGGCCATACCGGCTGCTGTGCCATTAGCATTGCCAAACACATTTGCATCATCAACAAAGTTTCCAGCAGCTACGCTTGATGTAAGCGTTCCATGGCCTCCTTTTTCAAACAGTGGATCAGTTGAACCTCTCACAAAATTCCTCGCACCAATAAGCTTCTTATTACACGTTACATCCCCTACGAATTCACATTTCCCTTTCCATTTCTCCGGTGGAGGTGGCATGTTTTTATCACTAAAACATGGATGACCTGGATTAATCCCAGTATCCAGAACCCCAATAATCACACCTTTACCATAATTCGACTCTTGCCAGAGCCCCACATTCTGATACAACCCCAAAAAGTTTGGAGTACGCGTTATATGCAAAGCTAAAATCTTCTCAACCCTCGCGTACACAAAACCATCTTTCATTTCCATTTCTTTTACCTCCTCAGCTGACAATCTGGCTGCAAAACCTGATACCACATGGTGATATGAGTGAATAATTCGCGTTGGCTCCTCTGAACCAACAATCTCTACCGGTACAAAAGAGTTATAATAACTTTCCAAATCAGCTGAATTAGCGACAACTTGTACATCAGGCTTATTTACATGAACAATATAAGTTTGCAAACTGCTCTGAGGTTGAGCAACTACGAAATGAAAAATCAACCAAAAAGCAAACGAGATGATCAAAATGCAAGTCATGGTTAGTCTTTCTATCATCATATACAACCCCTAGTGAAGAAACAGGTTCTTTAAACTACGAGTTAACGGAAGAATAATACGATAAACCAAGCAAAGAAAACGAAAAAGAGAGCTTTCTAATACAACCGGCTTACAAACAAAGTCACTGTTATTTTATTTTAGAATAAAGAAAAACATAACAAGAAGACACCAAGTAAACCAGAATGCTGGATTGTT